GCCCCCCCCCCCCGGGGCCCGCCCCCCTCTGCCAGCCCCGCACCACGCAGCGCTCAGGGAATACCGCCTCCCGCCCCAGGGGCAGCCTCCCTCTGCCAGACCCGCACCACACAGCGCTCAGGGAATACCGCCTCCCGCCCCAGGGGCAGCCTCCCTCTGCCAGACCCGCACCACGCAGCGCTCAGGGAATACCGCCTCCCACCCCAGGGGCAGCCTCCCTCTGCCAGACCCGCACCACGCAGCGCTCAGGGAATACCGCCTCCCACCCCAGGGGCAGCCTCCCTCTGCCAGACCCGCACCACGCAGCGCTCAGGGAATACCGCCTCCCGCACCAGGGGCAGCCTCCCTCTGCCAGCCCCGCACCACGCAGCGCTCAGGGAATACCACCTCCCGCCGCAGGGGCAGACTTGTAGAGGCAAACCAGAAGCCAGTCCAAAGCAATGGAAAAGGACGTGCACAGCTCCGTCCCCTGCTGGCAGGCACTGTGCACCCAGCTGCCTGCTGGCCAGGGGAGGGGGATTCTGTGCTCACAGAGGGTTGGCGTTAGATCATGTACCCCTGTATGCTACAGCATGTGTGTGTCACACCCTGTGCATTAGAGCACATAGTCGTATGCTACCACACGTGTTAAAGCATGTAGTCCCGTGTGTCACAGCACGTGCTAGAGCATGTACTTGTGTGTCACAGTGTGTGTGTGTTAGCACACGCACTCCTGTGTGTCACAGCGCGCGTGTGCTAGACCACATAGGCATGTGTGGGGTAGAGCACTGGTGTTGCACAGAGAACCTGTGGGTATTTTCTTTGCTTCTAGATTCCAATATGCTTCCCCCTCTCTCAGCGCTGGGTGCACGTGTATCTCCCAGCTCATGTGATTGTCTCCAATTAATTAGCACTTTCCTCTTAGCAACTGCCTGGAGGCCGACAAGCTGGGCCAAGAACGGCAAAGCGAGACTCCTTCCACTTCACTGTTCAGGGAGCTGAATTGGAGCCAGGCGCTGTCCACAGGACGTGTCCCCCTTCGGCTCCCAGAAATTAGGCAGCACCGGGGAGTTAGTGGGCTATTTGCGCTCCTCAATCAGCCATTAGCTAGCACCCCCGCCTGCTTTCAGGGGGGCTCTCTGCCCGGGAGACGTGGCATTAGTGAAGCGTGCTCTGTTTGCGGGAGGAGGTGCGGGAGACTCACCAAACGAGTGAGTGGCTGGGATTGGCAGCCTTTGCTATGGAGCTGGCCTCCTCTGGGGGCTTGAGAAGGGACTACATAACCTAGGGAAAGCAAATGTGCAAACATCCCAGGCAGAGAAGGAAGGAGAACTTGTGTTTCGCAGAAGGTGCCCAGATCCTACCCGGATTGGCACCGGCGTCAAGCCCTGAGGACAGCCGTTGAAGTGTCTCCATTACGTTACGCCGGATCAGCGTAGTGATACTGGTGTGAACGAGCCGGACAGACAAGGCACAGGACCAGCATTCCCGGAAAGCTGAGCGCTTGAGTGGCCTCCCAGGAGAGGCTCCAATGCCACCCAGGTAATTAGCAGAGCACCCACAGCCTTCCACAGGTGGCAGCGTGTGTTTCTACTGGTGTTGCACATCTGCACATGCCTCGGTGCACGGAACAAAATGTATTCTGCACACGAATGGGAAAAAATGAGACACGGGACAGGACCTAGCACCGGCCCCAGGGAGCTGAAATTGGATGGAGAGCCACCGCGCTGCCCCTGCAGCCTGTCTGGCACTAGATCTCACCTGCCTTGTGAGAGGGAGAAGGGGGCAGAGGGGAAGGGATTTACAGATGTGAAAGGGCGCAAGAGTGCTGTGTGTATGGAAGTGCAGGTATATGACAGCGTAGCTGGCTTTATGCCATGAGAACAGGACTGCCCATCACCTCCCAGGTCCCCTGCTATTGCAGGCAACCCTGTCGGACCGGAGCACCCTTTCAAAAGTAGCCTGTAACTGGCCATCAATCCAGGATTGGATGCTGCTCCCTGGGACCAGCTCCCAGATGTGGCGAGGCCCTTTCCAGCCTGGGACAGACACCTGGGGCATGTGTCTCTTTTCCACGCCCTAGCGGTGCCTGTCTAGCGTGTCTGAACCGAACAGCATGTGTGAAAGGGCACATGTGCATGTCACATACGTGGGACCAGGTGTTTGCCTTGTGCCTGTGAAAACATGCGAGCCCTACTACAGCTGGGCACACATCTGCCGAGTGTGTGCATGACACATCTGTGCAAGCCCAGGGCATCCACGTGAACGCACGTGGGCATGAGAGGAAGCAGGCTCTCCTGCTGGGGCAGGGAGCGCTCCCCAGCGCCGGGGCCAACAGGCGAGTTTGAGAAAGGTCAGCGCTCCTCCATCGTTTTAATTCCTTTTTAATTAAGCGCTGGAGAAAATCTCTTGCTGCTCATCTCGTTCCTTAATCCACTTAAAGCCCCCGCAATCCCGGCTCCTTGGGCCGAGGCGCGGGAGCCGGGCTCCCTGGTGGCGTCAGCGGCTTTCCAGGGCCGGGCCCAGGCAGGCTGTGCATGGCTCTCTCCCCCCTGTGCGCTCGCCTCTGGCCGGGGGCGGCTGCACCAAGGCGAGCTTCCAGGAGAGCTCGTTTGTGCCGGGCGCCTGCCCAGATCGGAA